CATCATGGTTTGAAGTTCATTTCATGAAATCAAGGCTCAAAATTAAGTCAATCGTGCAAAAAATCCAACTTGAAATGTAAGAACATGCTATAAATATGACATGCATGTATTCATTTGAACTCATAGCTCCCAATACATGATCAACTAAGGTAATTTGATGGAAAACATGATGAAATTACAAGACTATGGTATACTTGGTACATGTATGTGGAAATCCTCAACCATTAGATTCAAAATAGAAGGAATTATGCATGCATGCATGGTTTGAGCTATAATTCTCAAATTTTAGCTTGATTCTCATGCTTAATCTTCTAATTTTCTTGAATTATTACACCAAGTAATTCAAATTCTTAATTAAGGAGTTGAATTTCCTACCTTAAGCCCTGAGTTAGCAAGTGTTGGAGCTAAACACCCTTAATTCTCTTCAATGTCCCTCATTTCCTTTTTAATTCTCTTCCTCATTTAATGTTGGTTTTAATCTCTCTCTCCCTCCTTCCACACGTTTGAGCTCAAAATGAATGAGGAAAAAGGGAGTCTTGGGCTTGGTAGTGGCTTTATATAGGCTAATTAGTGAAGCTTAGCGAATTCTTGCTTAGACTAATTATTTGGAATTATTTTATTCTAATTTAATCGTTCTAAATCGAATTTCAATTAAACCTACCACAAAATTCTATAAATCCTAAATAACACATAAATCAAGTCAATTTCTAAATCGAATGCCGATAAGGCCTTTATTTTGCAAACCAAAACAAAAACATGAACAGATCTTTCTATTTTAAACAGATATAAACACAGATAAGGTAACATATGATACAAAATTTCACTTTAATTACTCATTAGGCATAATTAAACATGGACGAACGTTAATCATGGGTCGGGATTGTTACATTGAGGATATTAAAAGTGAATTATTTGACATTTTCATAAATTTGAACGGAATAGTTTGTTTAATATCTGATCTGTGGTCAAATAATAGTTTAGAATATCAATGTATTATTGCACATTTTATTGATAATGATTGAAAATTAAATAAAATAAGTATTTCATTTAGATTAGTTTAACTTTCGTACACTGATTATTCGCTTGGTGTAGACATAAGAAATGTATTATATAAGTGGATTTTACAAAATAAAATATTTATTATTAGTTCAGATAATGTAACATATTACAATTAGACTGTAACCCATTTGAAATCAACTTTACAATTACTTACTAGTGGTGATTTATTTCATGTTCGCTGTTGTGTCCATATTTTAAACTTGATTGTTAAAGAAACTATGCATGTATATAAGACTTCTATATAGGTAATAAAAAATGCAGTTGTTACTATTATGTCTTCTGCTAATCAAATTTCAGAATATAGAAAAATTTGTCAATGAGAAGGTATGCTATTTAAAAAATTAATTTTAGATATAGACAGCAGATGGAATTCAACGTATAATATGTTAAAAAATGCTTATAAACAAATAAAAACAATAGGTTTGTTTTTTTAACAATATTAATAGGAGGAGTACTAACTCCTACAAAACTTAATTAGAGTCAAGTAGCCTTATATAAAAATTTTCTAAAAGTTTTAATATTGTAACAAAATTATTTTCTTATATATATATATATATATTCTTACTTCACCATTTGTTTTACATATGTTAGCAGAAATAATTAAAATTTTCATGAAATATATGTGTAATGAATATTATGTAACCATTATTACTATAATTAAAGAAAAAATTGATAAATATTTTAATCCATTACCCCATCTTTTAGGTTTAGCCATCATAGTTGATCCTAAGTGTGAAGAAATTGGTTTACAAAAAATTTTAGAATGTATTTTCGATGATCAAAAATAATTTGTTCCTATTATAGAAACATGCAAAATATTATTTGAAGAATATAAGGCAGCTGCATTTGCAAATACACCTATACACAATGCACCAGTAGCCTCATCTCGAGACGAAAAATTATATGTTTTTTCAGCAATAAAAAGTAGACAAATATCTCAACATGTAAGTATAAGTAGTTCTAAATTTCAATGTTATTTGGATAGCCCACCAGTGGATGGTACAGAAGATTTTGATATTTTAGATTGGTGGAAACAAAATGAACCTATGTGACAGTTGTTTCACAGATGGTCCATGATATACTAATCGTTCATATTTCTACAGTTGCTTCTGAAACAACTGTTAGTGCAGGTAGACGGATGGTAAGTGATTACCGCAATAGGCTTTTGTCCCAAATGGTTGAGGCACTGATAATATCCAAAAATCATATGCATGTGGTTACAAGAAGACAAAATTATAGTGAAAACGAGATAATTCAAACCGATTTGGATGATATATTCTCGGGCAACACGAGTGAATTGTCTGCCTCCTCCGATGATTGATAAACAATTTGTTTTTACTATTTCATTTCGTTATTTTTTTGTATTACATTATTGAAATGGAATATAATTTAAATGATTGGTAAGCTAGTAAGTGCCAACCTAGTTAGGTTGTACTTGATCTATAGTGATGCAATTACTCTATTATCATCAATAATCTAAATCTATTTTATTTAATAATATAAATTTTTATCATATTTTATTTCATTTTAAAATAAAAATTATTCATTCAATAAATATTATCTATTTAATTTAATAATTATAATATTATAAATTTTATTTTGATATATATAAAAAAATAATTCATAAAACTTCATCCTTCCTTCCTAGGGGTATAAATCTGGCCCGGTCTACTCGGCCCATGTTGGGCCTCGCAAGATCCGGGCCAAAATTCAGGTCGGGCCAGCCCATGAGTCAAAAAATTAGGCTCAGGCCCAGGCCTAGGGGTATTTGGGTCTTGGGCGGGCCTGACAATTTTTTTTTTTGTTTTTTAAAAATTTGTCTATCAAGATTTTATTATTTTCTACTAAAAAATACATTGGACCTTAAGCGTGCTGGGCCTTGAATGGGTCATAAGCGGGCCGATGGACTAGGCCAGACAGGCTAGGCCAGGCTTCAAAATGATAGCCCAAGCCTAGGGAGTCAGGTTGGGCTTGGGCTCAGGCCCAAACGGGCCTAAATGAGTCAGGCCCACCCGGACCCTGCCCACGGGCCGTGGGTAATTTTTACACACCTATTCCTTCTCCTCTTCTTTTGGTCATCTATGTTATCCACTTTTTATTGTAGGCGCCTCTTCTCTTGGTCATCTATATTATCCGCTTTCTATTGCAGGAGCGTTAAGGGTCAATACCCAACTGGCGAGGCAAGCATCCTATAGTTTTATATTTTTTTAGTCATAAATTCATAACTAAAAAAATATATAATTTAAGGGATGGTTTGAGATGTTCCAAATAAGTAGATTTTTTAACTTTGTATTAATTAAATAAATGAATTGTAGAAAAGTAAAAAAAAGTTGATAGAAAAGTAGAGAGAATATGATAATAGATGTTGATAAATGCTGATTGATGTGACCTAAATAAGTGTATGTATGCAAAAAAAAAGTGTACTTTTTTAGTATATGCTAAACACCTTTGTTTGGCATAATCTAAAAAAGTCAAAAAATTACTATTCTATTTAAGTCACATCATCTTATTTAAGTCACATCACCTCTCTAACATATCACTTCAAACTCAACCAATACCCGACCCATATTTTATAAAAAATCAAAAAGTGTACTTATTTAGATCATCCCAAACCATTTATCTCCCTACACAAAATATAATAAAACATCTCATTAATCTTAATTAAAATGCTCTAATATATATATATATATATCTCTTATAAATAATCTATATACATAATATATTTATTGTTTGTTTTTTTACACAAAACAGAAAATTTGGCTTGACCTGCTGCCCGAGTTCAAATCTTAGGCCCTAATCTAAGTGGGCCTGGACTTGGACATCACTTTTCAGCCCACGGGTCAATACGGCCCAAACTGAGACATTTGGTAAGACAAAAAAGAAAAAGGTAATGAAAAGTAAGAATGGAAATATGACCTTCTTTTCGTTCCTACCAAATGATGCAATTGATTGCAGCACAAAAAATAAAATTAAAAAAAGAGGCACAAACAAATTCACTAAGGGTTGATTTTGGGAGTAAATTAGTTTTTTTTTTTTTTTTTAACTACTTTCATTTGAGATTAAAAGTCTCATTTGAAAAGAATTTTTAATTTTTTAATTTTTTTGTAAAAAAAAAAATTTAATAATTATGAATTAAATGTGATATTTTATGTTATTAAGTTAAAAAATCTATTTTATTTTTTGTAACTATCTTAATTAAAAAAGCTCAAACCCTCTTTCTCAAATGAGCCCTAAGCCTTCGTTTCACACCCCAATTTTAGATTAAAATAATCACAAAATAATAAAAGAGGTTAAAAAGTCGATAAGACAAAATATTATATCCAAACTATAATTATTTCATTTTTCTCTCACAAAGTAAAAAAAATACATCTCAAATAAAATTTTTTAACCCAATCTAAAATAATTAAAAAGTCAAAAAAAACTAACCAACGTGCCAAACGAATTTGAGATTAAAAGTCTCATTTGAAAAGAATTTTTAATTTTTTAATTTTTTTGTAAAAAAAAAAATTTAATAATTATGAATTAAATGTGATATTTTATGTTATTAAGTTAAAAAATCTATTTTATTTTTTGTAACTATCTTAATTAAAAAAGCTCAAACCCTCTTTCTCAAATGAGCCCTAAGCCTTCGTTTCACACCCCTAGATTAAAATAATCACAAAATAATAAAAGAGGTTAAAAAGTCGATAAGACAAAATATTATATCCAAACTATAATTATTTCATTTTTCTCTCACAAAGTAAAAAAATACATCTCAAATAAAATTTTTTAACCCAGTCTAAAATAATTAAAAAGTCAAAAAAAACTAACCAACGTGCCAAACGAATCCTAAACAAACTTAATTTAAAAACAAAAAAAAAAACAAAAAAAAAAAAAACTTAAAGTGAAATTACAATTATTGAAGAGGCTAAGCCAAAACCAGCCCTCTAGAATAGACTCGGCTATTTAGAAGTCAATCGCTGGAGCGCTTCTCGAGCCACATTGGCCCTGGGCTGGACCCTAATAGCCTCCTCATAAGCCTTCCTCGCTTCCTCCACCATCCCTTTCTTCTCATAACACTCCCCCAACACACACTGCGCAATTGCATTCTCACTCTTCAATTTCACCGACTCAACCAGGTCCGCAATCGCCGAGTCAACTCGCTCGCTCTGACTCATCCCCACCTTCAACTCCGCCCTCTTGATCAGCGCGTCCGATCTCTCCTCCGCCGACAGCGACTTCGCCGCCATCGGCGACAGCGCCACGTCTAGTGCGTCGAGAGCCGATGTCCTAAATCCCTGCAGATCCAGAGCCAGGGCTTTGAGGATGTGAGCCGCGGCATCCTTGGGGTCGATCGCGATGGCTTTGTCGGCTTCGTCGGCGGCGGACTTGGCGAGGGAAGCTGCGGCGGAGTTATCGATGGCGGATCGGGATTTGGCTTCGCCTAAAAGCTGAGCTCCTTTGACGAAGTGGCGCTTGGCTTCGTTGGCGGAGTGATTGCGGCGAGCGAGAAGCTTGGAGAAAGCTTGTTGGGGGAGATTGTGCATCCAGAGGTACATGAAGACAGTGATGAGACCTAGGCCTATCTGTAGAAAAATATCTGTTACCATCTTCATCCTCTCTGTATCTCGATGTTGATGATTGGATCGGATCAGATCGGAATGAAAGATCAGACTTCAGGACAGAGAAGATAGAGAGAGAGAGATAAAAAAAAAAGGGCCGGCAACGATATATAGGCCTATTTTAGGAATTTAGTTATAATCTACTTCTTAAATCATAACTCACTTTTTCTTTCATAAAAAGATTATTTATAAATAAAATTTTACCAAAAAAATCTAAAAAAAATTATTTATAAGTAATTTTTCATCAAAAAACTAATTATAACCATCTTTATTGTTATAAAAATACAAACCTCAGGGGGCGGGATGTAATTTCCGAAACCTCAGGGGGATATCTGTAATTTAGCCAAACCTCGAGGGGTGTATATGTAATTTGCCCAAAAAACTAATTATAACCATCTTTTTAAATAGTCTATAAACGCAGAATGTTTATTTGCGCTACACGACAAGATAAGTTAATTTAATTAAGACAAAATGTTAAATGTATAATTATTTTATTTTTTCTTTTATAAAAATTAAAATATTAAAATAATTAAAAGATTAAAAAAAATTAAAAAATTCAATTCACATTTCAAAGAAGAGTGGTGTTATAAACATTTCATAAATTATTTTAGACCTCTATTTTTTTTGACTACTACTTATAAATTTTGAAACTCTTAAATTTTTTTCCATCCCTCAAAAATATAAAAATTGTCCTTATGAAAATATTTCACTTGTTAAATGCACACCCCTTACACCCAAAAAAAAAACCCTACACCCCAAAAAAACTCTAATAAAGCCTACGAAGAAGAAGAAGAAGAGGCAATATGAATATTATCTCTGCTGCCTCACTCACCATTATCACAGTTGGTATGCTCTCTCACTATTATCGCAGTTGGTATGCTCTCTCTCTCACCATTATCAATGTTTTGAGGGTGGATAGATTTTGAAGGTAGGATTTAAAAAAGATGGATGGGTGATGATGGAGATAAGTGCTCTCATAAATCCTAATTCAAGATGTACCAAGTGTATAAGTTTAATTATGAAAAGTGATATTCAAAAATTATTATGATGTCCTTCATAATAATTTTATTTGAGCTTGTTATTATAATAAAAAAAAAAATTAAAAGTTAGATGTATGGAGGGGTAATAACAGCACTCCTCAAAGAAACCTTAGACTAGAGTTGACCGGAGCAGGCTTGTTTTACCTGCAGAGGGAAAGAGCTGGTGCACCAAGGGGGAACAAAACTCTGACTACTCTTATTACGTGGCTAAATCTAACAGGGTTCAATAATTTTTTTATTTTTTATTTTTTTTGTCCTACTCGTTTTTGGGATAGAGAATGGCTTCTTCACTTTTCTTCACAAATATTTTAAGAATTTGCCAAGGCTGCATATGGTGTACCAAAAACTCATTGAGCCTGTTTTGACTGGGCAGTAGGATGGAACTTCAAGGAAGATTGACCAATTTTAATTTTTAAGTCGTCAAGTTGGGACTACAATACAAGTCGGTCGGTCCAACCTAAGTAATTCGATCCGGAAAATAATTATCATTCCACAATTAATTAGAAGTAAAATTTAATATAACAATAATATCAAATCATTACTTATTTTTTTTATCATTAATCAATAATAAATTACGTATAGAAAGGTAAATTTTATCTACTTACTTTAAAATAATTATGTAACTATTACATGTATATAATGAGATTTATTACATCTACATAGTACTTTGTCATTGAATAACAATATCACGTATTGGTGGTGATGTTATATCACTGTTGTATTCAATTTTTTTTTTTTAAATGAATTTTTTCTTGTTCTCCACAACATAACGGGCAAAATTGTCAAAATAACGATTATTTATGTCAAAATCCCCAAAGAGACCTTTCATTTCTCTTGCATTAGCTCTCAGTGTCTCACCATTTTCACTTACCATTGTCAGTCTTACTGAGTCGGACACTGAGTCACTCGTGAACGACCCATCTTGCTCGTTTCTTGGTATTTCCACCCCAAATTTCTTCCCTTGCAACAGCCTAGCATTCAACCCTTGATCATTCATCACTGGAAACAATATCAAAACTCGCCCAAAACTGAGTCCTTCTATGATTGAGTTCCACCCACAGTGAGTCAAGAAACCCCCAATTGCCGAGTGACCTAATATCTTAACTTGTGGGGCCCAATCCAAATAAATCATTCCTCGATCCTTGACCCGCTCCAAAAACCCACATGGAAGCAACTCCATTTGGTTCTGAGTTGACCCAGGTGGCTTCCTCAGTACCCAAAAGAAAGGCAACCCAGATTGCTCCAACCCAATAGCCAACCCAACAAGTTCGTCTTGACTTAGTGTTGCCTCGGTTCCAAGTGCAACATACACCACTGAGTTCAAACTATGTTTGTCTAACCAACCTTTGATTTCAATCCATTTCTTTTCATCATCCTCTGACTTAGTATTCACCATTGATGGTGGTAAAAACCCAACAGGGACGACTGGTTTGTTGTAAAGCTCACAAATGAGTTTGAACCACTCAGGTTCGAACTCAACACATGTTCGAAACAAAACAACATCACTCCCATCAATAGAAATTGCAAACCTTTCAAGGTCTGACGTACCTACAATGGCAGTTTCAAGACATTTAGGTTAAACAATTAAAAATTTAAATTATAAATTATATATAAACAAAAAAATCACTCTTATCAATAGTCATAATTTATTTTCCATAAATCTACTACTTTAATCTTCTCAAATCACAATAAAAAATTAAAATATCGATACAATTGTTTCAATATCAACAAAAAAGAATTAGATACATACTGTTACAATTATCATCAACAAATTTTTGTATTTTGAAGCATTGTATAATAACTTCAAAGGGAAATTATAAAATAAAATAAAATAAATTAGAGTTGGACCCTTATAGCAAAAAGGGTAAAGCTCCATTAAATCCCAAATTTGGGAATGTTAAACCATTAAGTCCTGTGTTTCTTTTTTTTTTTTTTTTGGAAGGACTAAGAGGTCCCATTTGTATTGGAAAGACTTTGAAGCTCATATTTTGTGCGTGTGGGGTTCGAGAACAAGAGTAAATAGGGGATACTATTGATGTTCAATTTACCAAAATGCCCAACGACAAACTGCAATGTTTTGCTGGTGTCCCCCATGAGCGATTGAAACCGTAACTGTGAATACGGAAGGTTTTGGATTTTGATTCCGACATTGCAGTGATTTGTGGAGTTTGTTTGCCGTGATTTGTGTTTGGTTTGTTAATGTTGACGTTTATTCCCAAATTAACAGTTGAGTAAATTGGTATACCCTAGTTGCCCAAATTAACATTGATCTACATCTCTTCTTTCATAGTAATACGGTTTGTTCGGTGTGACGTTGGGTGGGATTACCATTTCGTCAATTCAACGTCGGTGAGGACGACATCTATGCATCATTGTCACCCAAGAACATTGTCGTACAACATGGTACCAGGTATGTACTTTTTGGATTTGTAATGTAGGTCTGGGTTTTGGTGCAATGTGGATTAGGTTGAAATGTATATGTTACGTGATGTCTAATGTGCGATTAGCATTGATTGTGTTGTATGATGTGGTGATGTTGAATTATGTAATGTATGTTGGGGTGTGTCAATAGCAAATACGGGATGGAATTATGTGTACTTCTTGTTCTTGCTATTACCATTACTACCTGGTTTTGTGGTGATGTAGGTTGGTGTCTTATGTTGAGTAAACCATGCGAGGGGTGTGCTTATGTTTTTGTTGTTGTTTTATGGGGGGCCTGTTGTTTGTTTGTTAATGTAGGTGGTGGACCCTTGATATTGGTGATGTGGTAATTGTAGTTAATAATCCATGGGTTGAACATTGAAAATCTATTGTTTGTTGTTAATTTTTTGTTTTGACCAACACTACACCCAACCTACAAAAGTAATCGAAGAGAAGTATAGCCAACGTTAGAAAGTAAACACCAACTGGTTAACATCAAAATCTACCCACACAGTCCACTGAACACCACTTACAAAAAAGAAATGTTACAGCATACCTTACCCAAACAGCAAGACAAAATCAAAAATGAAATCATAATATGGGTAAATCAGTAATTGAAAAATACAATATAACAAACAAAAATACCTATACCAAAATAAAAAGGACTAAATGGTTTACAAAAAAAACTCGGGATTAGGTAGAACAACATTTCTCAATATGAGATTTATGAGTAATTTCTCCGATATCTTATTGCAGAAATTAATGCATGAGCCACTTGTACTTTCATAAATATTAATATATTTATGTTTTTATATGTATCTTAAAATATAAAAATAATTTAAATAAATGTATCTTAGTTTTTATATTATTAGTAAGTAATTTTTAATATATTTATAAAATAATTATGATGTCAAGGTTTAATTCTCCGGCTCGACTCGACGGTTGAACTGGTGATGCATTCATCCGATTCCTTTTTTCTATTTGCTCACCAGTTCGATTTTTAAAACATTGATTTTTAAATGAAAGAATCACTATAAATCACATTATTTTGTATTACAATTTTGTACAAATTTTCAGTTTGTATATCAATACTCATTTTTATTAGTCTATTTGCTTAGTATTAATTTTAGGGTGAGACACCAATAAATTTCAAAATGTGATCTTGTGAACTGTTTAGTCCTCCATTTTTTCTTATGAACCCAAAGGTCCTATTAAAGTGGAAATTACACAAAATGGCAATCATTTACATGTTTTGGTTTAATTTTTCAAGGATAAAAATGGGTTTCTCCAAATGTAAAATTACATATTTGGATAATCCGCACTATAAAAGTTTTGAATTTTTCCTCCTTCTAGAACAAATCTCACATTACGAACAAAAATATAACACTCCAATGTAACGCGTTAAAAAACTCTTTGATGTATTTTTTCCAAACGTAACAATATAGCACTAAAAAAAAACTTTTTAGTGTACTTGTCCCAGACGTAATACCCCAATGTAACACAAAAAAACTCAAGAGTATATTTTTCCCAAACGTAATACTCTAATGTAACATACTCTAATGTAATACACAACAATACTAAAAACTCCTTATATACTTTTTCTAAACATGACACTCACAATTTGAAATTATATATTTATCCAAAACTTACTAAGAAATTTTTGTACTTCTTTTGAAATGGTATGAAGAATATCACATCCTTTTTTAGAGTGTTATGTTTGAAAAAAATATATTATGAAGTTTTTTTTTAGTACATATTGGAGTGTTACGTTTAGGAAAAGTACACTAAGGAATTTTTTTGTGTGTGTTACATTAAACTGTTACACTAAGGCATTTTTTTAGAGTGTTATATTGGAGTGTTACGCTTGAGAAAGTACACTAAGGAGTTTTTTTGTGTGTTGCATTAGAGTGTTATACTAAGGAATTTTTATGAAGTGTTATGTTTAGGAAAAATACACTAAGAATTTTTATGGAGTGTTACGTTTAGAAAAAATACACTAAGAATTTTTTTGGAGTATTACATTAGAGTGTTACGTTTGAATGTTACATTCCAGTGCTACAGTTTGAAATTATACATTTGTCCAAAACTTACAAATGAGTTTTTATACTCATTTTGAAATGTTTGAAGTATCTCACATCCTTTCAGAATGTTTGAAGAATTTTATATTTCAAGTCATTTTTGTACTAATTTTAAAACGTTTTCCAAATAAAAAAGATTATCATACAAAAATCATCCCAAATTTGATTGTGTACCTTACCTTTCTAGTATAAAAGAACAAAAAGAGAAGGCAACATAATAAAAATAAAGGTATAATCATAAATCTAATTTTTAAATAATATATTAAATCTACAATTTCAAAATTAATTAGACTAATTGGTCTATAAGAAAATCTTTGGGACTAAATAAATCACCATTCCTCAAAATGAGATTTATAAATAAATTTTCCTAAGATATTATTTTTACGCATTTGAAGTTATTTTACTATCTTTCTATTTTTTTTATATTTCTCCTGGTTCTTGTATGTACCTTTGAAAATAAAAAAAAAATAAGGGTAAATTATAATAAACCGTCTTAAACTATGACTCATTTGCATTTTGTTCTCCTGAATTACGAAATTTAACAGTTAACAACCTCAAAGTATTACCTTGTTACAATTAATTCTTTTTGTTAAGATTCTGTTATAAATTTACACAAAATCAGATCATACTAAAGCACATGACATATTTATTGAATTTTTATAGAAAGTGTCAAGTGTAATAAGATAATAATACAAGTTGGATAATCATTGAGCTTTAAAAGTCAGGAGATAAAATACAAATAAATCATAGTTTAAAAGGATTTATTATATATTTTACCTATTAAAAAATACAAAATTCACTAACTTTGTTGTAAGTTTTATATAGGGCTAGACTTCCTCTTGTTGTTGGGTCAATGGGATGACTACGGTATTTTTTTAATGATTTAAATGATTTATTTTATAAAAATTATATATATTTTATTTATTAAAAAAATTAGATCGATTCAATAATTATGATCTCTTTAATTTTATTAGGTTTGTTTTACAAAAATTAAACAATAAATGTATTTTTAAAAATAAACCGTCGATTTAAAAAAAAAAAGTGATAAAATGAATAAATTATAATTATCAAATCGACTTAATTTTTTTCAATAAATGATATACACAAGTAGCCCTATGAAAAAGTTTAAATTATCAAAATAAGACTTGTGATTAACTTCATGATGCAGATACCACCCAAAAGTCCAACCCCTTCTATATGATGGGCACTCCGGCTATAAGTCCATTTCTTAATTTTTTGGGCCATTAGGCTCAAGTTTTAATTTTTTAAAAATTTTTTTTAGATAGGGTAAAAAGACAAAATTAAGAACTTTCACGCGACGCCTCTAAACAAATTGGATGGAGTCCGGAACGTCTACCATCCACACCCTCATTTCTTCAAACCGAATCGCCATTTGAGCTAAGCAATGAGCCACACTATTCCCTTCTCGACGAACATTTGCAACACGGTGTACCAAAAAACTACCCAGCAGATGGCAAATTTCAAACACAAAATGCGTGCGGTGACAATGCAGATGCTGCCCTTGCCCCTTCAATTGCTCCAATCACATTCACACAATTTGTTCAAAAGGACAACTATGTGCTAAAATCAACTTATTTATCTATTTCTTGAAATCACCTAATTTGCCCATCTGTTGAAAATTATCACGCCTATTTTCTTATATATTGCAATTCACCAAATTATTTATCTATTAAAATGTGACACACGTCACTCATTCAAGACTCTATATGTTGAATATCACACATTTCCCTAGTCACCACCGTCGATGACTTCTGGCCAATTTTCCGATGACTTTTTCAGTATGTCTTTATCACCAAATAAGATTTTACCTTGGATCTAATGCATTATACCCTTTTTAAATTAGACTTTTCACCAATTTTCTCTTTATATATAGGTATATGTATATATATATATATATATATATATAATTATTGTGGTTATTCAATAAGGATAAGGCTTATCATGAGTCACACACTTCAATGTTTTGAACCTTTCTTTTTTAAACGTCAATGTATACATTATTCATAATAAATAAATAATAAAATTAATCTGATAATTATACCCATGTTAGTTTATGTCTATCAAAAAATAATTAGTCTAATTTTTTTAATAATCTTTACTGTGCATATTTTTATAAATAAATGTCATAAAATAACATGATTACGATTATTAAATCAATTTGATTTCGTCCGTGAATGAGACTACATTTAAAACTATCCTACACAGGACCATAACACTTGAACTGTGCAAAATATCACCCATTTCGCTAACTATGGGTTAATTTGATCCGCAATTTAGAATTTATAATTCGCTTCTGAAACCATTCCGTCCCACTATAGTTAATAAACATATTTTTTTAACCTCCAATAAAATTTCAAAGTAAAAATCAATGTCAAAGAGATTTAAGATGTGAAATTTGTTCCAAGTTAATGTTATATATATGAAAAATATAATGTAAAATTAGTTTGTGCTATATATATGAAAAATAATATATAAATTAGTGTTAAAAATTATGTAAATACTTGATTTTTACCCCAAACTGCGATTCGATTTTTATCAATCCACCATTTATGATTTAATTTATAATTTTACTCGTAAACCGATCGAATCACACCGCACACGGCCACAAAACACTGTCCCCATAACCTGGCTGTTTGGGAACTTACTCACATTTTTCTAAATTTTTTTTATTCTTTACTATTTTTTTTTTATAGATTATAACAATTTTTTAAATTTCTTTCACATAAATAAACTTAAAAAGTAAAAATTAAAATTTTAAAAACTTAAAATAAATTCAAAAAATCTATTATTTTTGTTTTTAAAATTTTTAAGTCACTTTATTTGGTTTCAAACTCCTGTTCGAATAGGAGGAGTACGTCGTACTAATGTCTTAAATGATTTATATATCAGGGTCAAACGTTGATGAACACATTGAACTATCTATATGATTGAGAGCCCTCATAGTCTAAGCACAATGACACAATTATTAGAAAACGCGTCCTATAACTAAGCTAATAGCTCGTCGTGCGAGCCTCCCATTGACAGCTCGCTATGCCAAAAGTTAGAAAAACTCTATCCAACTCGGTTCTTTTTTCGCTCCATGTCATCACAAGGGAACATGTGAACGTAAAAAAAAAATCTTATCAACTTATTCCGATCTAAAATAATAATTTTCACCTTCAATAAAATATAACTTAAAATATTTTAAAAATTTTGAAAAAGAAAATTCAATAAGCTAAGATAAAAACCACCCAAAAAAAGGAAACTTCAAGAATAGCGGCGCTCATACCTGACTGGTTACCCTCGGAGCCCTCCATATACTTGGTCAACTCATGAACTCTATACACGATTTCCGATTCCATCTTCACCCACTTCGGCACCACCGTAAAATCCTCTGCACTGCTCCTCACACAATCCCCGCTCAACACCTTCGCCGGAGGCCCAAAAAACACCATCGTCGCAGCATTAAACAGGCCAATAAGCTAAGATAAAAACCACCCAAAAAAAGGAAACTTCAAGAATAGCGGCGCTCATACCTGACTGGTTACCCTCGGAGCCCTCCATATACTTGGTCATCTCATGAACTCTATACACGATTTCCGATTCCATCTTCACCCACTTCGGCACCACCGTAAAATCCTCTGCACTGCTCCTCACACAATCCCCGTTCAGCACCTCCGCCGGAGGCCCAATAAACACCATCGTCGCAGCACTAAACAGGCTGAAATAAGCACACGAAACACCCATCTCCGCCGCAAGACCAGGCAGTCAGTGAGAGGCGTAATCATACACAATCCAATCTGGGTTCGGGCTAATTTTCTCGAGAAAATCCGAGAGTGGTTGTTTGAGAAAATCGAAGGCGATTTTGAGGAGCTGAGCTTGGTGGTGTGGTGCGTCCATGGAGGATTCGGCGTTGGGTGGTAAGTTGGGGATGGAGGGGAAGGGGAGGGGGATGAAGGTGATGAGAGGGGAGAGGTGGGGAGGGATTTGGGGGAGGCGGCGGAGGTTTCCGGCGGTGGAGATGAAGGAGATGCGGTGGCCCTTGGTGGCTAAGTTGGTGGAGAGGTGGAGGAATGGGATGAGGTGACCCATGGCTAACCATGGGAACATGACTATGTGAAGAACTTCTTCTTCATCATTAATATCAACTCTGTTTTTCATTTGAGGATAGGGAAAATGGAGGATTAAAGAAGATGTTGGGTGATTAGTGTGAGATGGAATACTTTATAAGAATGTATATATATATATATATATATTAATGATAGCACAGAGTCGGGTGTGTTTGTTTGGACGGACTGGAAAAGGGATAATATACATATAAATTATATGAATAATATACATATAAATTATATGAATAATTATGTACAATGTATCATTTGGTATTAAATTTAAAGACATAAAATTAAGCAAACAAATAAACCAATTTTATTGAAAACATAATTTTTTTTTTTAACAGACACACACACACACAAAATTAACCGTCCAAATAAACCAATTTTTTGAAAACATAAATTATAAACACACAAATACAATATTAAGAACATTGATTTTTAAAAATAAAAAATACATACACACACAAAATTAGGTAAACAAACAAACAAAATTTTCAAAAACTGAATTTATACACAAAAATAAACAAAAGCTTAAAAAAGTTAAACAGGAAAAATGCCCCAAACTTTTTAAGTCTAAAAAATTACACACATTTTTTGCTTCGCAATTTAAAAAAAAATTGAAAATAACACTAAATAGAAAAAAATACAAATCTAAAACACATAGAACAGTGGTTTTTTGTATTTTAAAATACACATAAACAAACCAAATTTAAAAATAAAAATGAATTTATACACAAAAACAAACAAAAGCTTAAAAAAGTGAAACAGGAAAAATCCCAAACTAAATTGTACACATTTTACGCTTCACAATTTTTGGGAAAAAAATTAAATATAAATATACAGAAGCACACAAAATAAAAAAAGTATAAATCCAGGACACTTAGAACACTCATAGTCAAATAGATTTGATAGACATAAAGAAAAATAAATAATAACATTGAATTTGATATGCACAAAAAATAATTAACAATTTAAAAATAAAATCACAGCAATTAAATGCACTTATATACCAATTTTTACTAAAACTCCACACGTGGGTCAAATTGAAACGTAGAATCTTAAAAAAATTGAGTTCAAAAAATAGGAAAAATAAACAAAGTGAAACAAGGAAAGAAACATACAAAATAGAAACAAACCAAAAATTAACAAAGTGAAATAGGAGATAACAACTAAATAAATAAATTGCACCAACTCCCATTTATAAAATTGAATGGAAAAATATAAAAGCATACCAAATAGAAAATAGAAACCTAAGAAATCTCTCTGTACAAACCCAGCATTTTCTTTAAAATGTGATTGCTAATCCATCTGGAACCTAGGGTCTTGTAACCCATCTCCACATCATCAAAGGGCGTTTATAACCAATCACATATCCGTAGGGACACTTTCAAAAGAGACTCTGCCTAACATCCATCAAAACAGATGCAGTTTCATGAAAAGCATGTTTTTTTAGAACTTTTCAGTGAAGATGTTGATACTATTTAACTGCATAGCAGTTTGGAGACGTGGGGAGTAACTAATTCAGAACTTTTCAGTGAAATCAAAACAAATGCAAAATGCAATGAAATATTCAAAACTTTTCAGTGAAGATGTTGTAACTGTAATAAGGAGATGTGGAGAGGGGGATGTGGGAAAATGAAATTGATTGTTTTAATTCATCATTTTATCCCTAATTAAAACTGATGTAAGTGTAAAAAGTTAAGGTCATTTTAGGGAGAATTGAGAAAAGTTTCTAAGGAGTGACTTCGTGACACCAAAATTGTTGTTCCCTTTTAATAATAGAATAGATAAATAACAGCACAGAGGTAATATGTATGCAATTCAAATAAATAAACATAAAAATAAATAATAAAGAAATTAATATCATAATATATATATTGTGTCTAAATGTTAAGAGTGCTCTTAATGAAATCTAAGGTATTGAATTCAAATTTTGCTTACGTGTTTGAATAATATTTTTTTATTTTAGGATATGAAAATTTGTCACGAAAAGCTATCACATTATTCGACACCAAATCATATGCTCACATATATATATAACTAGCGGCCGGGCACACGCGATGCGTGTGCAAACTCGTTTAGAATTTGTTAACACCATAAATCTGCAATTTTTATTATTATTTATTATTTATATAATTGCAGGACACGTGGCATCCTCTTATTCATTTGGAAGTTAAAAGAAGTTATACAGATAATGGAGAATATGAAGGACAAAGTGGATGAGTGGGAGAACAAAGTGGATGAGTGGAAGGACACATGGCAAGACAAGAATGAAGATGGACGAAATGGGTAGTTACTAAGTAGTTATTGCTGTATTTTTTCTCCTATAAATAGTCATTAATGGCTACATTGTAAGGAGGCAGAATTCATAATCAAAGACACTTGATTTCAATATTTCTTGTTATTTTCCTTATCTTAGGAGTAGTTTAACATAGATTTATATTTCGAAGTATTTATTTTCAGCATTTTCATTTCGAAGCATTTTATGCACTTTATTTTCGAAGCATAGGAGTAGAGGTAAGTAATTATTACTTTGATTGTTCACTCAATCATCTTTCTCCGTCCCTTTTTCTTCTTTTACTTTTTCTTTTCGCTACACTTGGCAAATTTGAAGTCCTCTTCGTTGAGGCAAAAGAACCGTCAACACAATCGCTTGGTAATTGGCTTGAATTTAATCTGTAAGGATTTTTCAATCCTTGCTGGCACGCTCGCATTTATGATATTTTCCTTCGTAGGAAAAATAAGCCAACAGAATTATAATATGAATTTGATATTATTTTTTCTAGTAATATACATGTAAATCCTATGAATAATTATGTACAATGAAATAACATATTTGATAAATAAAATATATGCACATTAAAATATGTACACATCTTTTAAAAAATGCAATATTTACTAATCTTAACTAAAAAAACTATACAATGAAACTTCATATAAAATCTAAATTTGATAACATGAGACCGGAGATCCTGCAAATCTTGCCAAAAAAAATATATATATAAATAAGATATATGTAAAAATTAGTTTGCTAATAATAAACATTGATTAAATTAAAATTTTATATTTTTAAAGTGAGCCATAATTATACATATGCATATTTTAACAAATAGACTACAATAATAACATTGGTTTTATAATTGGATTATTATGTATAAAGACACAAAAAGTAATTATTTTGTTAATTTTTTATAAACAAAATTAAAAAATTAAAAACTTACATATTGACATAGATTGACATAGTCCATATCAAAAGTCACGTTCAATAATCTCTTCAAATTATTTTGATGCAATTTTTGCTATAGATCTATGACAACATTAAATTACAAAAAATAAAATAGAATTGACAAAAAATGAAGTACGTAAATAGGCGTCGGTAGAGAATAATCTGAGAAGTTTATTCTGAAAAACACAAAGTTATAAAGCAACCTGCAAAAAATATAAATGAAGGAAAATAATAGTTAATTTTTTTTTCCAAGAAATCTATTAACATAATTTTTTCTCTTTTACTTTTTAATGAAGAAAATAAAAAGTGTAAGTAATAATGATGCACACAAAATAACAAAATAGAAACCCATATTCTTGGAACATTTGCAGTATAAAAGATTTGATATAATTATAATATGAAATTCATATTTTTTTTAAACACACACAAAAGTAAACAAACAAATCATATATATATATATATATATATATTTTTGTAAAAACAAACAAAAGCTTGAAAAAGTGAAACATGAAAAACCCCAAACTATTTAAGTCTAAGTGGGTGTTTGGAAAGTGAGTTTTTTTGTAGGTTTTTTTAGTTATAGAATATTATTGGAGAAAAAAAATTTGTGTTTAGGAAGATAATTGGATTTTTTTGTGGTTGGATGTGATGTCTGTGAAGGAAAAAGTGAAATAATTATAGAGTTTGATGTGATATTTTGTTTGGATTGATTTTTTTTGATTTTGTAACAAATTTGTCTTTTAGTGAAAAAAATAAAAAAAAAAAACCACAAACCAAACTTCCCAAAGTCTAAACAATTAAAGTTGATAAGACAAAAAAATCGAAGATACTCATTTTATATAATTTTTTTAAGAGCAATGAATTTTATTTTAAATAAAAAACATACAAAAACACATACAAAAAATTAAGCAATCAAACAACCTAATTTTTTACCCATATTTTAAATATATTTTTTTATCCTTTTAAATTTAGAAACCGCAAACAACTTTAAACTTTTCTATTTTCTTCAAAATTGGGAATTTTTTTATCTTTTATTTTATTTATTTTTCATATTGGGCAAAATCAAATCCTTTAAGTTCCAGACACGTCCATCCATGCTCTCAACATTCGTATATTATTACAAACAGTTAAAACGCTGATTACATTAATAAATAAATCAAACCAATAATTTTAAAAAAAAAATTATGAACACTGATTGTATTAACAAATAAATCAAACTAATAATTTTTTTTTCTATGAATTGTTTTATAGAAAGTATGATTACACAAAAAATTATGAACTAATAAATTTTTTTTAAATTGAAAATATGATTACAAAAAAAAAAAAAAAAAAAAATCCAAGACACTCATTTTTTATATTTTTTTTAAGGGCACTGAATTTTATTTTAAATAACAAATACACAAAATTAAGTAAACAAACAAATCAAATTTTAAAATACTGAATTTATACACAAAAACAAAAAAAGCTTAAAAAAGTGAAATGAGAAAAAATCCCAAACTGTTTAAGAACATTGAATTATTGAAGAACATTGAATTTTTTAAACACACACCAAAAATTTAAGAACACTGTTTTTTTTTTTTTTTTTAAACACACAAAAGGAAGACAACAAACAAATAAATACTGATTTTTTAAGCAGACACAGAAAATTTAAGAACATTGATTTTGTTTTTTTTAAACACACAATGAAATTTTATGAACATTGATTGTATTAACAAATAAATCAAACTAATAATTTTTTTTTTCCTCATTTCTGGGTTTTAATTTCCAGAGCAGTACATCTTGACTGGTTGTTTATGCTATTGTTTCCATTCTCTATTGAACAGTTATTTATGCTTTGGCCATTGAGAGGCTCTGTTTGGATCAATAATTTAGGGAGTTGTGATGAGAAGAAACAAAAATGAA